TTTCTTGTCCTGTGACTCTCTGTCTGGGCTCTCCAAAACCCCTATGGCTAATTCTGGTCAGCTAGTCATGGGCTCCGCCCTTTGATTCAAGGTTTAACTTTATTAACATTCTCAGAGCATCACAGCGCAATCAAATATCTCGAAACAAGCCGTGTCAGAGCTGGAGAACCAAAGGCAAGCGTTCCCTTTGTGCTAATGAGTCCTTGTTGGGTAGAGAGTCCTGGTGGCTTCCAGACCAGGTTCATCTGGGACCCACCGCTAGCCCTGCTTCCCAGGGTACACATGGAGACTTCCATAGACATTTGTGTTGTTCACGACAGAAGTGCTCCTCACACCAAGTGATAGTCAAGGAAGCTGGTCCGCACTTGTCACTCTCAGAGTGGGTATAAATAGCATCCAACACAAAGTGTCATGGTGCCAAGGGCCGGAACTCCTCACTCAGTATCATCAAGTGAACAGCTTTGGAAAGAGTCATACCAGGGATGATTGAGCCCGGAGTAGTTCAGATGTCAGAGGACCCATCACACCAAGCTACAGCACTGCAAAGAGGAGGCTCTGAGGATAACTTTGGGCTAAGCTCAGGCTTCAACCATGTAAGGATTGAAAGACTTTTCCTGCTAAGATATTATTAGATGATATCCAGGCAAACAAAGCTGAATGTGTGTGTTCATGCGTACATGCACACATGTGAGTGTTTATGGAGGCAGGATCTCTCACCAGGCCTGGAGAGAACAAGTAGGCTGTACTAGCTGGCTAGTGAACCCCAGAAGTCTGCTTGTGTCTGCCTTCCCAGCTCGGGGTTACAAGAATGTGACGTTATTTATGCCTGGCTTTTTCATGGGTTCGGGGGACTGAAGTCACATCCTCATGTTTGAATGCCAAGCCCCCTACTGACTGGACTATCTTCCAGCTTCACATAAAGCTTTTGATGGGTGGCTCCCTATCTGTGTGACTCTGGTGTTTTCATAAATCTGCTTCAAGGAGAAGGAGTAACCTAACATCTATAGGTTCTCTAAGAGATAGTCTGGTTTCTTCCATTCGAGCTTGTCTTTTTTCCTAGGCAGCGACAAGCTCTGAGAGGACAGGTTCTCACAAGTGTGCAGGCCATGTGTGACCTAAACAAGATTCATTTTCCCTTCATTAACTCTTGAATGACTGCAGCTGAGAAACGTTTAAAATTAAAATGTGCCTGACTATGACAACTGAGAGGCTGATGCTTAACATTTGCTGAGACATTGCCTTGCTATTTTTCAATCTCACCTGTTCTACCGAGAAAAACACCATATGAGCTGGGGTAATAATTGCTTATGGATTGAGAAAGGAGCTGATATATTTTTATTTATTTGTTTGTTTATTGTAATTGTTTGAGACAGGGTCTTACTGTGTTGTAGTCCAGGCTGGTCTTGAACTTGCAACAGTCTTCTTGTTTCAGCTTCCCCAGTGTTGATGCTATTGGTATGTGTCACCATACTTGGGTTTATAGTAAACAGTTTTAAGTAAACTTGGCCTGGGGAGATGTTTGTTGTAAAACTATGAGGTAGAATGTTAATATTATTCCTACAATTTCTTTTCTGATTGTTAAACTCATATATGAGTTCAGTCATTTTATTTTGAAACAGGTTTGTTTTCTGTGTCAAAGGGACGCAATTACCAAGTGTTAATTTTCATATATTCACAAGAGTGTGTAATGAACTGGACTGAAAACTTGCTAATTAGATCCATTTTTTTAGCCACAATGTTGACAGAGAAATTGACAAGTGTTTTTCAGTTATGATTTATGAGACTTACTCTCCAAATCCATAGGTATGAGGGAACCTGGTGACTAATGGCTTCTATGTACAAGGCAAGGCTACTGTCACTGGCTCAGAGACCTTTACAGCTGTACTTCTTGGGTTGAGATCCCTGCACAGCTGCATACAACCATCAGCAGGACACAGAGGGATCCTGCTGCCCCTCTCTGTACACACGACAGACACCTCCTGAAAACCTGTAGTCCGCTCTCCACAGCAGAACATGACAGCACACAGCTTGACTAACACAGAGCTCCCAGATTACCAGCATTTGCCTGCTCCCCCCCCCCACCATACTTCTGCCATATCCACCCCTGATGTCACCAGCCTGCTCTCCACTCCTACATCAAGCCATTCAGGGATGCTGAGAAAAGAAAATCGTCTGATTATTTTGAGATCTGCACAGTTCCCTGGAGATGACCTGGTCCTCTGTGCACATGGTACCCATTTCACATCTAATTGGCTGAATGGACTATAGTTTGACCAACCATTCAGAGGCTGAAGAATATTTTGCTTATTTCCAGTACTTTGCTGTTATGAATAAAGCTGCTACAAACATCCTTGCATGCCTCCCCTGTCCCGCCCTGCCCTACTCCACTCTGGGGAGAGAAAAAGTTTTAAATTTGACCAAGGTCTGATTGATCATCTTTCCTATACTGGCTGACTGTTGCAAGTTTATTTCTGAGAGAAATTGCCAAAGTGTCTTCCAGAAGAGCTGGACCATTTTGCATCCCACAGTACTATAGGCAAGATGGGTCCTTGGCAGTGTCAGAACTGAGCATCACCACTGAATTTTGTTGTTGCAGCTGAAAAGCAGGCTCAATGGGTCGTCCTGTCTCTGGTTCACTCTCAGCTCTGTCTACTCCAACCACCACTGAGCCATCCCTGGAGAATTCCATTTCATTTCTTGTATTTCTCAGTCCCGGCATTTTTAGTCAGTTTTTTATTTATGCATTCTGGTCCATGGAAGAGAGTCTACATGCCCACATTCCCACCACATCTCTGGTTGTTCACTGGGGCATCTTCACAAAGGTGACTTACGTCTCTGTTCAGTAATTCTAGTGTCTGGTCATCTTGACTTCCTGTCTATCTGCTGACGGTCCTTTCTCACTCACTTTGAGATCTTCCTGATTCTGGGTACGATGGCCGGCTTCTTTGCTGGAATCTGGACGCTTGTGTCCCATGATGTCGGGCTCTCCACTGGGACTGAGTCATGCTCCCTCCATGCTGCAAGGCACTGAACAGCAGCTAGTGACTGGCAGGCGAGAGGAACCCAGGTTTCCCTTTTGGCCTCTGCCTGCATCTACGCATGGCGCTTCAAGACTCTGGGCAGGAGCTCCCCATAGGCATCCCGTGACTGGGAGGGTGCGAGTCCTGTGGAGCTTCCCACGAGAAACCTGATTAATCTCCCCCTGAAATGCATGGGGGGGGGTGTTACATTTTCTTGCTCTTCAGAAGGGTAGGCACCAGGCTTCCTGCCCACACTGACTCCAGCCCACCCCAAGGTTGGGATGTCCGATCACAGGGGTGGAGGCCTCTGGTCCTCCTCTGCACTCACTCACACAACCCGTTGACTTCCTCAGCTGTGTCTGTCAGTGAGACCAACATCTGAGGGAAAGTTTGCTTCTTTGAGACTATTGTGGCCAAACAAATTTGGGTTTTGTTCTACAACTCACGCTCTCTGTTTTCTCACTTCCCAAACATAGTACTAACAGTGTGGGTGTTGAAGGAAAACAACAATTACGATCTCAACGAAAATTCCCAGCCACGGTAACACCGTCAGGAAACTGCAGCGAAGGGACTCAGGTTAGACATCGAGACGTGTTTAATGACTGACGCGAGGAATGCTGGGACACACAGCCGAGGAAATCACAGGACACCTCTCCTTCATTGCCAGCGAGTAGGGCAATGATATTCCACCGCCCCAAGTCTGGGGGCTGTGCTAATGGAGGTATTAGAGCAGGCAGCTCGTGGCACCCCACCAAAGCACCTCTGGGTCAGCCTGAGGATGTGGCAGCTGAGGCAGACAGAGGAATGGGTGGAACAAAGCCAGGCTGCAGGGAAGACGTCCCCCTTCACCTACCCGGGCATTGTTTCAGGAGCACCCACACTGTGTGCCAAGGAGGACTCTCCACTCCCTGGATGGAAGACCCGGCACTGAGCGGGAAGAAAGGGTCCGGGCGTGGTCACAACATGACTGTCTACACCTGTCGTGCCCACCTCTCTTGTCCACATATGAGGTGCCTGAAAACGCCCCAGATGAGCACACAAAACAAAACCCAGAGAGGGACCAGGAAGAGGGTGAGGGAGAAAGGAAAAGGTGCTGAAGGTAGAGCGAGGGGGAACAGGTAAAGGGTGGGTGAGGAGGAGAGGTGATGAGAGGAAAGAGAAAGAAAGAAGGAGGAGGAGGGAGGGAGGGAA